GGGCCACGGGCCCCTGGCGCCAGCCCGACTTTCCGGGGAGGCCATGTTCCAGGCCCGTGAGCAGACACCCTCCTGGACACGCTAACCCGTTTCCCAGATTCCCGCTCTGACAAAAACAAACACAAAAACAGGTGACAAGGAAACCTATAACAACCACTTTCCCGACCACACGGAAGGATCCGCATCTCCGAGTCTCAGCGTCCAGGACACAAACACAAAACCGGAGGACACAAACTACGGCATGGGCCTTCTGCAGGAAACGGTGTCCCTGCCCGCATCCTCTCCCTGCGGACAGCCGCCTAGCGAGCCAGAAGAGGCCAACAATGGCCTGGGAGTACAGCCGTCCATGCCAGCGTGGCACACGCGGAAAAAACATCTTCCAACCGTCTGGCATCACGCCCCGAAATCACTGGCCCTTCAACACCAGCGGAACGGCTCCAGAACAGGCCAGCGGTGAGGCGGCGGCGGCGGCGTGCGGGCTGCAGGGTGGATTGGCGCCAGCAACAGCCAAGGACCTTGGGCTCGGGCGGGAGGACCGCCCTGGCGGGCTGCAGCCCACTCCTCGGAGGGCCAAGCCGGCCGGCCCGCTCCCTCCCTGGCCCCTGCCGTCGCTCGCTGGCCCGCAGGGTGGACTCTGCGCCTCCCAGGTGATACTCCCGGCGCGGTGGGCCGCTTGCACCTGCCCTGCCCTCCAGCCCTGGGCCTCCTCCTGGGGGGCCCCGCAGAGCCCAGGTGCTCCCACCTGCAGCCAGGCCCAGGTTAAGTCCGTCCACATCCCTTTTTACCGCGAGCGCGCAAATTGCTGGTGCCCGGAGGAGAGGACTCGGCTGCCGTCGGCGGGCCGAAGGGTGATGACCCTTCTCTTGCTCCCCAAAGACGACCCTGAGGCCCTTTGTCCCCTCCGGAGTTCGATGGACCGTGAAACACCTTGAGGGAGTTCGGCAGTTGGACATGCGCCGACCGGCCCCTCCTCACCTTCCCCTCAAGGTCGCCGTGGGGGTCCACCACTGGTCGGCTCTGCCCAGCCGTGCGGGGAGCCGGGGCAGGCCCCGTTGGCGGCCCCACCTGCCCCCGCCGGGGACATCCAGACAGCCCATCACGGCTCCGCCTGTGAACAGGGCTGATCACGTTTTTCATTGTTATACTTTCGTCCTGTGTTTCTGGATGCAAAGCACACAACGGACAAAAAACACACCTTAAAACCCCAGGACGATGGTCAGGGCGCCGGGTCGAGCCTCTGGGTGGGGGACGCCCCGAGGCCACCCTGCGGCTTTTTTTTTTTTTTTTTTTTTTTTTTTGAACAGAACGCAGCTTTGTGCCCAGGCTAGAGTGAGTGCCGTGGCGTCAGCCCTAGCCACAGCAACCCTTCAGACCTACCTGGGCTCAAGCGATTGCTTGCCTAGCCTCCTGAGAGCTGGGACTACAGGCATGCGCCACCATGCCGCTAATTTTTCTATATTATTATTGTCAAATAATTTCTATTTATAGTAGAGACAGGGTCTCCATCTTGCTCAGGCTGTGGTTTCCAACTCCTGACCTTGAGCAATCCAACGCCTTGCCTTCACAGAGTGCTAGGATTACGGCGTGAGCCACAGCACCCGGCCTCCGCTGTAGCCCTTTAGGCCTTCTGGTGGCCTCCCGGGCGGTGGGGGTGCTGGGACGCCTGGCTGGGCTTGCCTGGCAGAGGGGCAGGGGTGGAGGGAGGCCGGCCAGGGCGCCGCATGCTCAGGAGAGAGAGGATGGCGCCGTGGAGGCCGTGGAGGCCGAGTGGCCGAAGGTTCGGTGGGCGTCCTGCCGCTCATGGGCGCCGGGGACGCAGCGGGCAGTGCGTGCGGAAACTCCCCTCTGGGATCAGAGCTCCGGAGCTGACACCGTCACCCAGACGGTCGGTTCCCCCCAGATTGAGAAGGCGCCGCTCGGGGCGGCCGGAGTGGGATTCTGCTCTCCCCAGCTCTGTGCTCTGGCCAGACCGGCCCTGCTCCGAGCCGGGACTCAGGCTCTGCTCTCCCCATGGCCCTTGGATCAGCGTCCGGTTCAGCCCAGCCCCACGGACAGATGGCTCTAACGGACGGACAGACAGTGCCAGGGGACGGAGCGGGAGCCCAGGGCCAGGCGGCCGAGCCGATGCCCTCGTGCCCTGGGGGCCG